GTCGGGGCGGGGGGGGGAGCGCAGAGCTCCGCGCTCCCCTAAAGCCTAAAAACCCCGCGGGTCACGGCAAAGGGGCCCCTTCGCGACCTGCCACGGAAGGAGCCGTGCTCCTGGGCAGGGCGTGAGTCTTCGCGCGCGGGCGCATTTCCCTGCGCGAGCCTCCCCTAGGAGGGTGCGTGGTGTGGTTCCTGCGCGCATCCTCCAGTAATTACAGGGAATTTCCTGCTCCGCCGGCGGGTCTGGACCCCGTTTCCGCTCAGCCTCGGGCCTCGGGGTCTCCTGCGGGGGAGGGGGGTGCACCGTGCATTCCGCCGGGGAACCAGTGTCCCCAGATCCGTGCCTGTGGGAAGCAGGGCCTCTGCGGACCTAATCAGAGCCGGGAGGCCCCGGACGGGGCGGGTCCTGGCGGCAGGGACACGCGTCCTCTAATGGGGGACCTGGGGCCACGCCCGGGGAGAGGGTCGTGTGGCCTGGGACGCGGAGCTGGGGGGCGATCTCCACGCCGAGGAACCAGGGACAGCTGGGCACCTGCAGGCGCCCGGGGAGGCCTGGCCCGGTTTTCTCTTGCACCCCCAGAAGGAGCCCATCCTACCTGCACCCTGATTTCTGGCAGCGAGTGTTTCAGAGGCTGAGGTGGGAGCCCCCGAGGCTGAACGAGCTTCAGTGTGGAGAGCTCTGGTCACTGTCCACCTGCTCTGGTCACTGTCCACCTGCCCGGCCCGTGGAGAGAATCGGCTGGCAGGAAGGGGTGCCCACTGCAGCCTCCAGTCTGGGGGTGCGGGGGTGCGGGGGGCACTGGCCCCTCCTGCCTGCGCGGGTGCCTCCCATCCCATGTCCTGGCTGCTGTGGCCCTGGCTGGCTTCTGCCCAGGAGTCCTGGGGACCAGTGTGCGGGGCTGCGCAAGGGAGAGGCAAGAGCAGGGTGACCAAGCCCCCGCCTGCTCTGTCCCCCCCCTCCAGTGCCGCAGGTACTCAGCAGCCTTGCCACCCCCCGCCCAAGTCTCTGCAGGGTCCGGCTTCTGTCGTTACACCCTGGGGCCCATGCCTGTCTCTCATTCAGTGATTTCTCTCCTGCTAATTGAGCAGAGGGCGTCAGTCACCCTCACTGCCACCCCACGTAACAGGAGCCAAAGGAACGAAGTCCATGGATTCCCACAGAGTGCTTAGAAGGGCCTGGCACACAGTAGCTGCTCAGTAAATATCAGCACCCTCCCCAGGCCCCCAACCCAAG